AGAAAACAATTGCAAGTGAAACCTACAGAAATACTCCAGTCGAATATACAAGAATAACACAAGAAATCTATTGTATTTGTTGTCTTAATGAGACTATTGAGTAGAAGGATAGTATAATGCACCTTTATAGTAAGTATCATAATAACAATCATAATAACAACAACAATAATAATAATAATAACATAAGTATTAATAATAATAATAGGTAGGTAGGTCACAGTAAGTCAGTCATTCACACAAAACTATTGATATTACTAACATATGAATGCATTCACCATAGCATATTTTAGTAATGAAGACTATTTGACAAACTAACATTTATTTCTCATCAACTGACTGATATGTTGTATACAAGAGTAGTACAGATCATTAATAAATATTGAAATCAGTTTATTTATACGAATGATTTATCAATGTATTTAAAAACACACAGAACATGATTATGTTTGCTCAATCCAAGTAATCTAATGCCATGAGCTTCATGAAGCTCATTTTATACACCCATAGTTGTATTAAAACTAGGAGTTGTTTTCATCAGGTCCGGAAATAGGTATTCAAAAGACATGACGATAACCATAATAAGCTTATCAAAGAAATTTTCGTCTGACGTTGAATCCTCTCCATCATCTGTCACCATATCTTCCACTTCACTCACTTCGTCTGATGCAATGTTTGAAGATGCTGGTGTCGACATCATCGCCACTTCACACATCAGATATTGTGTCAAACACAACAATACAATCGCCTTGATAATCATTGTGAATACAGATTAATGAAAGTGTATAATTCTATCAGAGTGATATCAAAGCATATTTATATTACTCTGTTAACCATGTTCGTGATTCGGCATAGAGTTCATGTGATTACAAGTTCAAAATGGAGTCAACAATTGATCATGCTATTGCAATTTTCTTTTGATATTTTTCATGTAGTAAATAAGTGATCATTAAAAATGTGTTGAGTGACCAAACTGTCTTTCATTTCCACCTGTCCACTTTGATTCAACCATAATGAATAATTTGACAGAGCATCAATTTCGGTTAGTCATCACAATGCGTCAATCTGTGTCTATTCACATCGATGAATGATATACATTTGGTGGATAGGCTTGACAAGCTTCAAATGGATCAGTTGAATAATTATGGTGGTCAGAAGCTGTCAGGTTCTACTCATTGTGATTGAATCAAAGTGTTTACTATGGCAATACTCGGGAGGAATGAATGTCATTTTGTATTAATTAGCCAAATACATTGAGCGTTCATTTCAGGAATGAGTAGCACTGAGAGTCATGTCAATGTCACTGGAGATCACTGTGAAATAAATTGGCTATGATTTTGACGAAACATACAATAATTCAATATATGAGCATCTAATCAACTCTGGACACGTGGTTCCGAATGGATCTTCATTTAAACTTATCCATTCCATCAAAGGAATTGGATGGATGGATGAATGTGTGGTCGATTTGAAAACCTAAGTACTTTAGTATAAGTCATTTGAAATTTGAACTATATTAATAATAAATTATAATTCTATGTATCTCCTACGTATTATATTCCTTCTACCGATATCTTTGCAGATGAATTACTTTTGTTGGTTTCATCTGATACTAAGTAGTAAAACAATAAATAATGATGGCTTCGATTTGGTAATTTTTGAGATCGATTACTGGTTGATTCACGTTGATATTAACACATGATTTCGTCACTTACTGCTTGAAAAGTCTAAGCTTTACATTAACAACGAACAGGTAAAATAAATAAGAAATAAACAAACCAAATGAAGTTAATTATCATGTCATCTGTCACTCAATGATATGTTAATGTTAGACCAATTCAGTGGTCACACATCGTCAAAATGCCACACAACCAGAAAATGTAATTGAATGTTTCTGGCCACACGCATACTATTGTATTGTATTGACAAGTGATTAGTTAAAATTTGAAATTCATCTGAATGTGAGTTGACGATTTTGGAGGTTGAAACAGATTCAACTATGAACCGTTTGATAAGAGAAATATTTCCATCATTTTCCTTTCTCTATTCTATTTTGATGTTGATTATTAACTCCCTTTTCTCTTTGTATAAACACGACAGACAATATCAACGATAAGTTAGGTATTAAATTCAGATATTGGTGATGATGTGGAATTCCCCTTTAAACTTTTCCCGATTGGTTGTCGTTTTTATTTGTTAATATATTTTTTTAAATTTGGCTACATATGCTCAATTAGCATATTCATCTGAAATTACACAATTAATTTATCTTTTTGTAGCTAAAATAACTAAACTAGGCTTATAAATAACAGGGCGCATAGAAGCTTATGAACAAGCCATCATACAACTACCGTAAAACAATGCAATGCACTAGGAAAATATATGTTGTGAGAAAACCAATTTATATGATATGTATTCATATCTATCGATCACACATTTGGATCTTGAGGTGTATTGTGCAGTTTAAATTATCTCCTCTTCCGGTCTTTAAATGTCCTGTCTACATCATGCTTTTAACGTACTGAAACCAAACCTTTGCCAATGGAAATACTATGTGATACATTTAATATTCAACTACTACTACTACTACTACTACTACTACTACTACTACTACTACTACTACTACTACTACTACTACTACTACTACTACTACTACTACTACTACTACTACTACTACTACTACTACTACTACTACTACTACTACTACTACTACTACTACTACTACTACTACTACTACTACTACTACTACTACTACTACTACTACTACTACTACTACTACTACTACTACTACTACTACTACTACTACTACTACTACTACTACTACTACTACTACTACTACTACTACTACTACTACTACTACTACTACTACTACTACTACTACTACTACTACTACTACTACTACTACTACTACTACTACTACTACTACTACTACTACTACTACTACTACTACTACTACTACTACTACTACTACTACTACTACTACTACTACTACTACTACTACTACTACTACTACTACTACTACTACTACTACTACTACTACTACTACTACTACTACTACTACTACTACTACTACTACTACTACTACTACTACTACTACTACTACTACTACTACTACTACTACTACTACTACTACTACTACTACTACTACTACTACTACTACTACTACTACTACTACTACTACTACTACTACTACTACTACTACTACTACTACTACTACTACTACTACTACTACTACTACTACTACTACTACTACTACTACTACTACTACTACTACTACTACTACTACTACTACTACTACTACTACTATACTACTACTACTACTACTACTACTACTACTACTACTACTACTACTACTACTACTACTACTACTACTACTACTACTACTACTACTACTACTACTACTACTACTACTACTACTACTACTACTACTACTACTACTACTACTACTACTACTACTACTACTACTACTACTACTACTACTACTACTACTACTACTACTACTACTACTACTACTACTACTACTACTACTACTACTACTACTACTACTACTACTACTACTACTACTACTACTACTACTACTACTACTACTACTACTACTACTACTACTACTACTACTACTACTACTACTACTACTACTACTACTACTACTACTACTACTACTACTACTACTACTACTACTACTACTACTACTACTACTACTACTACTACTACTACTACTACTACTACTACTACTACTACTACTACTACTACTACTACTACTACTACTACTACTACTACTACTACTACTACTACTACTACTACTACTACTACTACTACTACTACTACTACTACTACTACTACTACTACTACTACTACTACTACCATCACCACAAGTTGAAATGAGAAGAAATGAGTTGTAATCAGAAGCTACACATAAAGGTGAAGTTATACAAACAAACTTCAGGACGGAGGTGATGTTTGGGCGAGAATAATGATTGATTGTTTGCTTAGTCAGATCTGTAGATGATGTGACAGATTTTAGAGTTAAATATTTTCCTACCTATATTATTATTGTGATTGTTGTCAGTTTTTGGTGTGGAAACATACATACGTTCTAGTCTGGCTAGTTACGTGTTCTTGATTATTTTTATTATTATTATCATCAGCTTTATTCAATATTATATTTTTGGTACAATATAGAATTCTCAGCGCAAAGTATTTCAACAAGTTTCCGTTTCTTTCTTCTTGGTCGATCCTGGAGATAAATATTGAGTGATCGCCAGCTAGATGTTAGCAGTTCACTAAATGAACATCTGATTAATGTACATTCTTTTCGTTGTATATTGCCAGCAACCACATTGTCTCTTATTGAGCTTATTATAACTTTGACAACGAAAGGTTGTACACTTTTCAGAAACGCAGCAGAATAGGTTATGCGATTAATAAACATAATGATATATTAAAACAAACAAAAATAGATAACTTGTTGAAATATCTAGATAGCAGGAACAGGTAGCCCAGATGCTCAAGCAGGCCGCCTTTTATTGTTGTGTTGAATTCCTGTAGAATAGACACTGAAAGGCAATCTAGTGTAAATATTCGTTTAAGACAAATTAGCATCTTCTTCGTGTAGACGAGGAAAACAGAACGTTCTAATAAATTTATTGATTTTATTTATTTTATTCTGTCTATTCACATAATGATTTTTTGAACTGCTGAGCATAATCCTTATTAATTTTATTATGTAACACTTTTAATGATCATATTATTTTGTCACGTCATATTGCTGAGTACTACCATGACGTTTCTTTAAATCATGCGTATGTAATATACCTTACTATTTGGGTCAATAGTTTCAACTTATCCATCATATTAATAATAATCTAATTTTAATCATCTTAATTACACATAAAATCTATAATACATCAAAAAAGTCACTAACACATTAGTATATATATAAAGCATTATATTTTTGAACTAGAACCATATTGTTTTGTATTCAAGTATTCATCATGATTATCAAAATGATTATATTATTGTCTTTAGTACACTATTCAATGTGTGGAGGAGACATAGGTACAACAGATGAATCTTTACAAACTACAATACATGAAATGAATATTACAACTGATAAAATAGATCAACAAACAATACATCAAGTAATTGAGACAACAAATATGATTGATCAAATAAACGATGAATTAAATCAAACAATCAATTATATAAATGAAATAACAGAAATGATACATAATGAACAGAATATAACATTGAATGAAATAAATGAAACAAATACTATTCAACCTATTTTAGAGACAACTTTATCATCTTTAAACAATATATTATCATCTTCAATAGAATCTAATCTAACTACTATTTCTTCTTAAAAAATTTATATTAGATTTATACTACACTAATACATTTTTGGATAATTAAACATTTTTATAAATAATCCATATATTTTTTTAATAATTATTGTTATTTCTTTTCTGCTTATAAACTATCAATAAATTTATAAGTAGTATAATAAGTTATTCATAAAAAAAATCAGTTTTGATTATCGATTTTAATGAATGAATTTAATACTCATTCTATTAAATTAATGATTTATGATAATTTATCGAAAAATCATATTGATTTTCAATATTTTTTTTGTTTGATCGAACTCATTTCATAAATCAGATTTATTTTTTGTTTTATATCATGTTCTTCATTTAAACTGGAAGGGTTAAACACCCTATAAGTTGAATGATAGAATTCGGATCCTTTTGTTATTTTTATGTTTATTTCCTTTTTCTTTTTTTTAGATGATTCATGTTTGTTTGTTGTTTGTTGTTGTTGTTGTTGTTTGTATTACACTGAAACAATAATATTCAGTAAACCGTTATTATTCATATAGTGTGTAATGTTTATCTATTGTGTAATAATTCTAAATATTTACATAAATCTATGATATAAAGTTCATTTACTGTTTGTAATCCACAACGTTTTAACACCTTTTTAATAATGATTTCTGATTTTAGTGTATTCAATCAATATTTATTTTATTGGAACAGTTTCCATTTTCCATGTTGTTTGTAACCATCTTCGATTATTATTACTACTACTATTATTATTATTATTATAAACCCCCTTGTAGTTTTAATGTAGCTTTCAGCTATTAAATATAACACTGTATGTTGTAAATGTCTTTCGCATATTTATTTCAGTAGGGATATGCTGATATAAGGACTTGTAGAAGTTATTAAATTGTATATTTTAAATAAGGGATTTAACTTATTTAAACAAGTAATGAAGATCAGAAAGCAGTAAAAAAAGTGTTTCGTATTATTAAAAGACTTCTCATCAGTGAACAACCACGATACGTCTTAGAATCGAACCAAGGACTTTCGATCCGGTAGATTACACCTAATTTATGGATCATTGAACCGAAATATAGTGTGTTTTGTATATCTAGTGATTAAGAGTTTGTGATAAGACCTGGAGATACTAGATTCGATCTTCAGTAGAGGTTCTTGAACTACACTGCTGAAGCATCCCATACTATAATGAAATAGCTTCCCGGCTCTTCCCGGTTTATACCGTTTGTCTAATTAAAGACAGTCTGTGATACACACTATAAGCTAAAATATTATTAGCATGTAATTAAGCAAGCTCTACATATAGCAATTTGACCAATATTCATTCAGTCTTCAATTTTGTAATTTCATTAATTTAATACATTTACAAATACTAGAATTATTCATGTATTTTTGTATTACTTACTTACTTACGCCTGTTACTCTTAATGGAGCATTGGCCGCTAACCAGCATTCTCCAACCCACTCTGTCCTGGGCCTTCTTTTCTAGTTCCATCCAATTCTTCTTCATTTTTCTCATGTCCATCTCCATTTCTCGACGTAATGTGTTCTTTGGTCTTCCTCTTCTCCTTTGGCCTTGAGGATTCCAAGTGTGGGCTTGTCTTGTGATGCAGTTGGGTGCTTTCTCAATGTGTGTCCTATCCACTTCCAGCGATTGTTTCTGATTTCTTCCTCCTCTGGGATCTGGTTTGTTCTCTCCCATAGTAGGTTGTTGCTGATAGTGTCTGGTAAACGGATTCGAAATATTTTGCGTAGACAACTGTTAATAAACACTTGTATCTTCTGGATGATGGCTTTCGTTTTTTTTGTATTACTATTGTTATTAATAATCTTATAAACACGTAACAGAATTACTTTACACTCACCACACGTTTCTATTTCATACTAAATTCATATAACTTAATCCATACACTACATAGTCTTTGAACAAAAATTTGATGTTGATCTGTGATTACATCATTGTTTCTCACCTTACGTAATTTGTATTTATTCTGATTATTAATTGACTAATCAACTTAATCAAGTTGATATTACACACTCATCATTTCAACATGAACAGAATTATTTAATTTTACTAACAAACCTGTATTCATATGTTGTGATTTTGAAGTGTATTTCACTACTACTAATAATAATAATAGTAGTAATAATAGTGATAATAATAATAATAACCTTTGTCATTCTCTTAATCATTACTTTGGGTTTATAAACGTAAAAGCTGAAGAGGATTTATTGAAAATGGTATTCCTCGTTCATATGCCGATATTTCAATATGATAGGGACTCTTAAATAATCCAAAATTTTTGAAAGAGATAAATGAAACAACTGACATATGATGAATTGAATATATTTCTAATGAAGAGCCATCATATTATTTGAGGAACTGTGATCTGAGAATCAGGAAGAATTGGATAGTTGTCAATCTAATGTTATAGTATGAACGCATCTCGTTACTGAATTTACTAAAACTACAGGTCACAGTTGGATAAGATTAATATATAATCAAACATGGGACTATAAACTGTTAATCATCATGGTTGGCCGAAATATATTTAACTAGTATTGTGTACTTCCATTAATTCTCTGCTCCTCCTTTTCTAATGGATCTTGTAAGGCTTAGAGTTTGTTGCTAAAATGATAGGATGAGTTTGTTCTAATACTTCCCTGTGTCAATTGTTAAGTAAATGTCTGGAATTGTTTTGGTCTCCATATCGTCCATTTAAAAATAAAGTGGAAATATTTTTCACATCAAACGATTGTAATGGTCATATTGTCTGTCATGTATACACATGGAGAAAAGTGAGTTAACAATGAACATCAAAATAGAATAGAGAAAGCAAAATGATGGAAATATTTCTCTTATCAAACGGTTCATAGTTGAATCTGTTTCAACCTCCAAAATCGTCAACTCACATTCAGATAAATTTCAAATTTTAACTAATCACTTATCAATACAATACAATAGTATGTGTGTGGCCAGAAACATTCAATTACATTTTCTGGTTGTGTGGCATTTTGACGATGTGTGACCTCTGAATTGGTCTAACGTTAACATATCATTGAGTGACAGATGACATGATTATTTAGTTGATTTGGTTTTGTAGAACGTGTCAAATAATCATGTATGTGCTTCCTGATAAGAAGAATATTGGAATATTAGTAGTATAAAGGAGATATGGCACATGGAATTAATTTCGTTTCATCTACACAGTACTTGTTAGTTGTCGTTTCAGTACTTTTATGTAGGTTGTGTAGTGAATAGAAATTCAACAAATAACAGTACCTCATTCTGTCACTGAATTGTTTGAAACACATGATGCTGATGAAGTGAAATATATTGGATTGATGTTCACTGGAATGTAATATTATTTCACGAACAAATTGAAATGTTATTGAAAGTCGTCAATAGTTTTTTATTTCTTATTTATTTTATCTGTTGGTTGACAATGTGAACCATAGGCTATTTTCATGTAGTATGTGATGAATTGAACTCGGTCTGTAGCTCTACTAGTGCTAATGCTGGTCTCAGATCCACACAAGTGAGGAGAGTTGGGCGTGTGTTCGGCAACTGCATTCCGTAGAAAACAACCTTGTTAAAAAACGCTAAGCAGAATAAACATGTTAAACTAAGAATTATGACACCTCATGATGAAAGCCGTGATTCTTCGGAAGTCACGAGATCGATGCCCCTTCTAACAATCAGAGCAACAGTTTTAGAGGTACATGGAATGTCTGAGCAATGTGGAAGGCCGGGAGGACCAGTCCAACAACAACGGAAGTGGGCAGGTACAACTGTGTAGTGCTCAAAATCAGCGAAACCCATCGAAAACAAGGTGTACGGCAACGAATAGTTGCAGGAGTGATGCTGCTTGGGAAAGAGCATTACAAAGGTTCAGTACAACATTCCTTCGAGAAAATGACACACTCAACGAATTCGAGATAATACTCGACAACAGGTTCGAAGCGTTACAATATCTACTGAAAGAAGGAGAAATTTCTATGTAGGATAACCAGAAAGCGATCAAAGAAGCATTAACTTCCACGTGTCAAAGGGTGATGGGTCCTATCATTATAAGGAACGGAACTCCATCGATACCATGGACAAGATTCAAGAAGGGAGGAACAAGTAGAGAGCGATTAACAACGGACGAATAAGAACAGATGGAGTCAAGGCACACCGAAGATACGGAAGCAAACAATCAAGTAAAGAGGAGCATTAGAGACGAGAAGCAGAAATATGTGAAGAAGCTAGAAACACAACGGAAATAACTACAAGAGAAGGAAATATCGAACAACTATACGACACGACGAAGAAACTGACGGGGAAATATGGTAAAGCAGAGAGACCGATAAAGGACAAATAAGGCAAGCCAATCACTGAAATTCAAAGACCAGCACCACTGAGTCCACCTGACATCGAAACAGCACACACAGACATTGCTATACATGTCACTCTACCAGCTATCGAAGAAATCAGGGTGGTAATGAGACAAATGGTGAGTGGGAAAGCAGCACAAAATGAAAATATACCACATGCAAAATGTCAAGTTGCTTTTATATAGAACTCAAAAACAAAATTTATGCTGTACACCAGTTTATAAGTAGTAATCGCTCTTTTTGTTCGAAACGGTGGATATAAATTAAATACCCGTAAGCCTAATAGGAAGGAAACTACATCAAGATATGGAAAAAATGGAGATCTGAGCAAATATGAAAACTCAGCTACAGAGGCATCACACTAACGTCAGTACAAGAAAAGGTTTCCAACAGAGTGTCGCGGAACCGGATGAAAGATTCAGTAGACGCAAAACATCTGGATCAACACGTCGGGTTTTGTTCAAACAAACCAGTTAAGAATCTGTGAAGATAGTATTCATTAGGAAGTTAAATCAATTAATGGCACTATTGAAAGGAAGAGTGAAATCGACATCTCATTCGACTTATCATAGTACACTTTTCAAGTTGAGTATCCCCGATAACAACTGGAATCGAAAGGAAGATGTACAAGTCTTGTGGATTAACTATTT